AAGTTTAATTAAAAGGAGATATTAATAAATATATACCATATTCAGTTAACATGAAAGAGCTTAAAAACTACTTGTGCAATTTTTACAAAACTTGGCACTTTGGCATAATTTGAATAATAGAATCAAAATATGGAAAAAATTGGTATGTTGTTTGGGAAAAAGTCCAATTTTGTGTCAACATACCTACGTTTGAACAATGCTATATATAAATCTAATATGTATTTTTTTCCAGATGTGGAAAATGCAAATTAAATTTTGACAATCAGTCCAGTAGAAGGAAAAATATAGAACTGCCCCCCCCCTTTTTTTTGCAAAGTGTACATGTGGAGAAATAAATGATGTAATGTATATTTAATGTTTACTGCAAACCCTGCTAAATTTCAGTAACTCTAGATTTTTTTTTAAAGTGAAAACATTTCTTTTTACATGAGGAGAGTAAATGTAATGTGTCATTTAATACATTTTGCAGAATGATTAATGCATAATCTTTGTATGACATACGTCAAATAAGAATTAGAATTTTTTAATATATTGAAAATGTTTTCCAAATTCTAATAATATTGATAGTCCATTGACTTTTAAGAGAAAAGTCACAAACCTGCTTCCTTATAAGTAACTTTGATACTTTCAGATTGTCTGCAACCCCACCGAAAAGTTGCAAATTAGTGTGTTGCCATAATGAGGTGTATGGCAAGTTGTAATGTTTCTAAAAAGTATATTTATGTGGCAATCCAAGTATGCACATAGCACATACCTGCTTTGGCCAGTGCATAATGCCCAAAGATGTATGATACAATGTGAGGTTTCTTTTCAAATTAAAGCAGATCATTGTATACATGGAAAGAAAAACAGCTTTAAAAAAAAAAAATAAAAAAAAAAGTTTGTTACTGTCCATGTGCAATTTCAAAGTTGTACAGTGCTTAGTTTTTTAAATTCTCCAATTTTTTTCCTTTAAAGGAAACAGTAAGTACACCGCACGCATACAAAAAAAAAATGGCACAGTTCTATATTTCTCAATCTACTGGGCCGATTGATGAAATTCATATTGCGTTTTTCATGTCTCGAAAGCGTGACTTAGGATATATATTAGATTTATATACAGTCAAAAGTCTTTAATCCGGACTCGTCGGGACTTCGGCGATTTCAGATTATAGATCATCAGTTTAAATCTGGTAAGATGGCATGCAGAAATTATAAAATTAAAAATATGAAACCGTAATTTATGAAATAAAGAGCAATTATGATCTAAAGGGTATCAAAATTTTTAAAAAAAAGCTCAATATTTATTTGTTTACTTTATTAAACATTTTTTTCAACGTGCGCATTTGATTTAAATCATATCAAAGACGGAGTACATCAAGATGAAATACCACATTTAATAAGGAATCATAAGCCGAATAAAATAAAAACATCTGCTCTGAAGATAAGGATAATGCTGACAGATCAACTTCCCGATCATTACGCGCCGCTACGTCCCCCCCCCCTGCAGAGCAACGTGAAATTGATAAACAGATTTTGGAATGGTTAGAGAAACAAAGGATATGCCTTTATCCATTTTTTGAAGCAATTCCACTTTTTGTTTAATGGACATCAAACATGCTTTTGCTTTGTAGATCCTTTGGCAGCTCCAGAATCGGAAATTCTTTTTGACATAATCGAAAGTGCAAGCTTACTTTTATAAAATTGCTCTAACAGTCTGCAAAAAATAATAAGCCGGATCCAATTAGAAGATTAAGGAACAACGTAATCTGCAACATTAACTAAAATAGATAATTAGATAATTTTAGCTTAGCTTATACCATCCGTTATACATTAAACGCGCATGCGTAAACGTATTATGCGCACACACATATATGCATTGACACATGTGCAGAAAGTTTGTAGCTTTGAGGTCCAGATTATAGATCATTCCGGGTTATGGACGTCCGGATTAAAGACTTTTGACTGTATAACATTCTTTTGATATAGGTGTTTTGATACAAAATTGAACCTTATTCTGAAATGATATGCCAATTTTTTCCCATAATTTGATTGTATGATTTAAATTATGCCTAAATATTAAATTTTGTAAAATATGAAGCGAAATTTACGGAGAAATTCAAAAATTTTTCTTTCAGTTTATGCCAAGAATAATTGACTTGCTAAACTTCTTAATTTATAGCAACCTATTTTTTTTTTCTTTTATCTCATTGTAGATAAGCATAAAAAGGCATCTTTCATACTTTCAACTAATTTTAACAAACTGCATAAACCACATTTAGCATTATTATCGCATATAACAAATAGAGTGGAACCTCGAGATACGAGTTCAATTCGTTCCAGCATTTAGTTCATATAGCGAATTTCTCGTGTCTAAAAACAAACTTTCCCATTGAAAATAATGAAAATCCAGTTAATCTCTTCTGCACCCCAAAAATGTCACCCACCATCTCGTCTTCAGTCGACATACCTGGTGTTTTTCGGAGAAGGTCCATGTACGGATTCTGAGCCTTAGCGCAGATGATAGCTTCCGACACCAAAGTGCCTTTTAATTCCTTCTTGTTAATCCATGCCAACAACAGCTTCTCAACATTTTCTATTAGTTTTGGATGTAATGATTACTCCCTTGGCCTCCTTAGCCTTCCATCAAGTTTCTCTTTTTCTTCACAGCACTATCTGAGGCAACAATTTTCTTGAAAGGTATCATGAAATAATTATTTTCACATTAAATGAAAAAAAAATAACTTTAAAACACAGAGACACGTAGATCAAAGAACACTGAGTGATCTGAGGAGAGGATTCCCCGAGTCGAGCCTGATCGGGAAATGCACCTTGCATACCAACAGCCTGGCTCGTTGCTCATAACTCAAATCAATGCTCGTGTTTAGAGACGAATTTTTCGCTCATGCTTTCCTTGTATCTCGAATTTCTCATATATAGAGTGCTTGTATCTTGAGGTTCCACTGTATGCCAAATTTCAAAATGTGCCAATATGTAAAGTCACATATATCCTACGACATTTTAAAGAAAAAACTAATTTTTTCCAAGTATACTTAAAAATACATCTACTTGATGATAGTAAAAAAATTTTTCCAAAAATTTATAAAATTTATTTAAAAATGAATCATAAAAAATAGGTGAATGTTATTTGGAATGAACCTAAATTTCAAAATATGAAAGGAAGAATCAAATAAGTTGAATAAAAAATAAATATTAAGAAGTACAAGGTGTCCGAATCAAATGTGCCTAATTTGAAGAGGTCGCTCTACTTAAAAGAAAGTTTAAAAGCATAAGAAAACTGTTAAATTAGATACCAATACTAATAAAGTTTTTATTTAACAATCAGTACAATTCAAGGTGAGCTCCTTTAGTAGCCTTGAGAATGTCCAGCCGGTAGTCCAGTTCCAACTGTGTCCAGTGTAGAATTTCCAGAGTAGCAATAGCCACGGTTATGGAGGCATGAAGGTCTTCAGTATCACAGATGTTCCATGAGTAGACTGTCTTTCACTTAGCTCCAAAAGAAGAAACTGAGAGGTGTCACTTCGAGAGATGTTGATGGCTAGACAATTGGGCTACCACGTCCTATCCATCGATTAGGGAAAGTTGTATCTAAAAATGCACAAACATGCTTGCCCCAGTAAGGAGGGGCCCCATCTTATTGAAAGATAACAGTGTGTTGTAAATGCTGCATTTGGGGTATTGTGTAAATTTGTAACATGTCCAGGTAAATGTTTGTCGTCTCAGTAAAGAAAAATGGTCCTATGAGTGTATCATGTGATAGAGCACACCAGACATTGATTTTTGTGTTGCTCCATTCCAATTTGTAGAGTGAATGGGAATTTTCTGATCCCCAAATTCTGCAGTTGTGCTTATTAACATTGTTGCTAACATGAAATGTTAAAATCTGCGGAAAAAAAAGCAGTTTAGAAAATTGTGTTCATTTTCGATGCAAGATAACATCTTCACAGCACATGCTGCACACTGTGGTCCATCATTTGGTTGCAGTTTCTGTGGCCAATATCGCCCTCATAGCGCTAAAACTTTGTTTTTAATTGACTGTTCAAAAAAGGTACATTTGATTTGGACACCCTGTATATACCAAAATCAATTAACATTGAGGAGCTAATTTTTTTAAAAACTACACATGTGGTTTTTGCAAAGCTTTGCAGTTTGGCATAATTTGAATCGTAGACTCGAAATATGGAAAAAATTGGCATGTCATTTCAGAAAAAGGCCGATTTTGTGTCAAACAGAAATATTTGGCCTGACTTGAATTGCCGGTTTGGCTTAGCCTTATTGCTTGAGTAAAGACGAAACACCTTCGTATTTATTTATTCATTATTGTTCATTGAACAGGAGTTGGTTTGTTCCCCTTGAAAAGTCAACTAATTTCCGATCAATGACAATGATTACATGCATTTAATTTAATTCTTGCCTTTAATTTATTCCTTTTACAATTGAACATTTGTTATTCATGATTTATTTCCAATCCCCGTTAAAACATTTTTAACATTTTACTTTCAAGTTACTTCAAAACATCTTTCACAATATAACTTACTAGTATGGATTCACTCTTTTAAGATAATCCTACTATAATCAAACTTAGGAGATAATATAATCAATTCATCAATATTTTTTTAGTAAATAAATTATTATTAACTTACTTTGCAGCAATTGCGCAAGTAGTAGTAACTTGTTTTTGCACTAAATGAATTTAAGATCATACTATATTAGAACAATGCTATGTATAAATCTAATACATATTCTAAGTCCACTTTTGAGACATGAAAAACATAAGTTGAATTTCGTCAATTGGCCCAGGAGAACGAGAGATATAAAACTGTCTTCCCCCTTTTTTTTTGAGCGCTGTACATGAGAACAGCAGCACAAAATAGAAAGACTTCTAGAAAAAGGTAAGTGTTTTATTACCAGTGTTTCTAGCTTTCTTCATTTTATTAATTAACTGCTCTTGTATGGAATTTTTAGTTTGCTTCCATTTTGAAAATGGTTGTTACCTTTAGCTTTGCAGAAAATTAGTCATACAAGTTTGCAAATGCTCTCAAGTTTGCAAAGTCAGCTACAGGGTTGTGATTTTTCAATGGAAGTGTGGATCATGAGTAAGTGCCTTAACTGCTACCTTAGCATCTTAAATGCATTTTAATGTACTCTTTTGGAATATTCTTAGAATTATATTTAGTTATGTATATTACATATATTCACTAATATTTTGTAGTGGCTTTCCTGATAAACTTTCATTATTAAATTTTTTATTTTAGTAAAAATATGTGAGATATCTCATTAATGCAAGGTTTTTCTGCATAACTGAATATTTTATGCATACGAGTGCTCAAGTTATATGTACCGTTGAAGTTTGAGTTACTTCTTTGCATGTATAAATACATGTTACAGAATAGCATCTCTTCGAGAACTTATCTCTGGCCTGCTTTTAGATTTAAAGCATGTGAATGATTTTGGTGTTCCATATCATTTGCTAGACATACATATATGAAGTTTTTGAGGAAAGTTATTCAACTAATTTTTCTTAAATAATTTATTTTCTATTATGTTTTTTAATTGATTTGTAATTATTGTGCTTAAGCATATGTGTTGAAACTGATTTTTATACCTTTAATTGATGTAATACAGATCACAATGACCAAAGCATTATATTTTAACAGATTGCATTGCGTTATTTTCAGTGAAAGTACTGAGTGTATATTATGTAAAATTGAAACTGTTAATCATTTCTATATGACCATTACAGGACAAGGCAAGAGTTACATATTATGAGGTTGTACATAATCATTATTCTAGATAATATGCAAAACTTAAGAATGTTTTATTTTTAAAGCATGTTTAATTTCTTTTTATTTATATCTATGTATTTTATTATATATTTATATCTATCTACTTATTTATATTAATATATATCTTAAGAGATGTACTTAAATGTACTTTCAATTTATAAACATTTTTGGTACTCTTCTATCAGGACTGGATTCAGAAATCCATGTATGTATAGATGGATGTGTTGCATGGATGTGTATGCATACACAGATACATATAACACACATATATGCATTTCTGAACCTCTTCCCAATAACAGAAAAGTGGGCCACCAGCGGCCGAGTGGTAAAAGACGCTGAACACTGGTAGTTCGGTCCGGGGTTCAAGTCCCGGCAAATGGGCTGGCTGCATGGGCATTTTCGTAGTTTTCCCCATGTGTAACATGGCTATGAGCCAGTTTCCCTTAAAAAGACCTCCACCACGGGGCATCCCTCCCTTTCCGTTTAGTGCCTAAGGGCGGAGTACGTAATAAGCACAAAAAAAAAAAAAAAAAAATAACAGAAGAGTATCTACTTCACTTCTTTAGTTGCATGATTTCTGAACATGTTGGAGCATTTCTTGTAAAATATTGCAGCATTCAGAAGTCACTTTTTCATTGATTTAGTCAATATTGCTGGATGCATTTGATGTACAGCATACTTAAAATAGTCTCAAAAGTAGAAATAAAAAAATGTTAGAAACAATACCTGAAAGATCATTCAACATGACTTTATTATATGGTCCACTTCTTGCATCTATTTTGCACTGGAACACCACTAAGCAAATTCATTTTGGGTTCGTGCTATATGGAAACTTCCACATGTGTGCACCCAAAGCATATTTATATGTTTTTTTAAGTTAGCATACTGTTCAAAGAATAAAAATCGGATCAGCTGCTTTTCTAAACTCATATCATAAACCAAGGGATCAAGATTGGTTTAAATTATTTCAGGGCCTCCTGCAAGTTCAAATTTGAGCCTCCCCTACCCCAAACGAAGGTTACTCCCTTTAAAAATTAATTTTCTGGAGAAGGTTTCTGTATACTATTATGTAATTTATTGCTATTAATAATTTTCTTTTGGAAAAAACAATGTAAGCTCCTATGTGACATATCTCTATTATTATACTACTGTTAAATCTGAATGTGCTTCTTCTCATTCATCTACTTTCATCATATTGACATTTTCACTTAATGAATGTTTTCCCCCAATATCTCATGTCATATTTACAAACTCTATTGTATTATTTTCTGCTGTCTTTTTGTTTGAAAATTTTATTGGCACAGTTAGGGAATTTTGTTGGCTTTATTTTCTGTTTCATTATGTTATTTACATACAATACGGCCACCTTGCATTTCCTTTGAAAATTTGCTTTCCTATAGGGGTACTTTCTTAAAAACATCCATCCTATACTTTCTTTTTATGCTTTGACTGATAAAACAGATGTGAAGGTACTAAAAAAGGCACTACGCTGATGAATTTACGAAGGATAAATATATGGTTGTTCTTGTCCGAAATCCAGTTTATATATTGCAGAAATATTCTGTATAGATACAACATATACACTAATTCATTTGTAGAAATCTGTCTTTGGAAAAGATTTCTCATTTCTATATTTGCTTCAATCTAACTTGAAAATAGCGGATATACCAGAAAGCATATCAGTTGCTAAAGAATATTAATTCTATTGTTTTTATTAGTGGTATTTTCGAAATTACACATTGAAATATGAATATTATCTAGAAAAAATAACTGAAAAGACGAGAAAGCTTAAGGATGAAATCTGATTTCTAAATTTTCATTTAAAACTGTAAGAGTGTACTTGTTAAACCTTTGGTAACAGTGGGAAGAGATTACTTTTTTGACATATTTCGAGAACCTAAAAATTGCAGTATAGTGGTGTAAGTAGAGCTGTTGGACCCTAGCTACAATACTGGTTACCAATGAAGAAAGAAAATTCTGGGCTGTTTGTGTATTTCATGATTTACAACATCGTGATAAAAAAAGTAAAACGCAAAAACAATTTTTCGAATAATCTTGATTTTTGTTAGATCTGGATTTATTATTATGCAACATAAACACATGGTTATAAGGCGAAAGATGGCAACAGAAGTTTTTACTAGAAAAAGACAGGGAGATGGGCACCATTCCTTTACCATTGTGGTTAATCGGTTTAACTCCACATCCACCATTCTCTAAAGTTGTATTTATGCGGAAGTTGTGTTACGTGGAAGGTATTATTTCTTATGCGGAAGTTTGGGGGAAGGGAGGGGAGTTCTATATTTAAATCAGCAACTAGTCCACCAGATAGTTTGATCTTGTGTGGGTGGAGAGAGGGTTTCACAGTGTGAGGCAGAGGATCCCGTGGTGACACGCCTAAGTGTGTCATACTGGACCCACATTTCATCGCTGGTGAGTACTCAATCAAATATGGATGCATTGTGGTGCTCATTAAGCAATGACAAACAGGCAGCAACACTGTTTTGCTTGTTTGCATTGGACAGTAAGTGGGGTACCCACTTGCTCAGCTTGTATGCCTTTCCTATGTGGTGCAAATGGAGTCTGATTGTTTCATCAGATACCTGGAAGTGTGCACCAAGCTAGCCACAGGTTTGGCTTCTGTCACTCTCTATAGCTGCTCTCAGGGCCCCATTGTCCAGCACTTGTGGTCGACCGCTGCGTGGTGCATCACTAAGTGCAACAAGCTAGCCACACGTTTGGCTATTGTCACTCTCTATAGCTGCTCTCAGGTCCCCATTGTCCAGCACTTGTGGTCGACCGCTGCGTGGTGCATCACTAAGAGACATATTCCCTGACCTGAACTTCTGGAATCATTGCCTAGTGGTTCGTTTGTTAACTTCATCACTCCCAAAGGCTTGGTAAATTCGGCAACTTGATTCTGCTGCTGACAGGCCCACTTTAAAATCATACAGCAAACAACTCCAAATGGGCGCCTTTGCATCCATCTCAATCAGTTGCTGTGTGAGGTATGTTTGAAGTACCAACGCAACACGATTTTATATTCTTGGTCAATGCCTGAACTCCCATCATAACCATTTCATTGGCAGGTTTGGCGACTATTTTTATGTTCGGGTTCAGTCTTTCAATGTCATATCAGAAACGGCAAGAACATTTTTGGTTACCTTGTACCTTCCATTTTCGTATAAAACACAATCGGTTTAATCCTAGTATACGGTAGACATTGGACTTGGTGGCATTATGGTGCGCGATAAAACCGGACATTTATGATAAGCAGTAAACGGGTTGGCCACAGTTTTCAAAATCGTGTCAAGGCCATACTACTAGGATGTACTAGGATTTTACCACAAAATCTTTTAAACCTTTTCTTTTTAATAAATGTTTTATTTGTCATTTTGCAGTAAAGTAAAAAAACATTAACCAGTCATCTAGTCTAACTATTTAATATAATTATATTCGCCAAAATATCATTGATTATTGTAATTCAGTTTTAAATCTTTAAGTTATTAACTTTATTTTAAGCCTTTGTTGCTCAGAGTTCCACTACATAGAACACCCAAATTGAATCACTTCTGAAACCGTTAAATTCAACCATAAATGGATAAAAATGCCTTTATAAATATGCTTCAAACTTCTCTTTTTAAATAGTAGATGGCAGCATATCACAGGGAGACCCAGAATTTTCATTTATGATGTGTTATTAAAATCCACATTTTTTCTAGTAAATTTCTATATATATATATATATATAATTTTTTTTTTTTTTTTTTTTTTTTTGTGTGTGTGTGTGTGTGTGATACAAAAAAATTTGTTTAAAAAAAAATTTCCATATAATTTTAATGGCTGTACTCTATATTATTTGTTATATATTTTTTTACGTTTTTCATACAAAAAGCAAGTGCAGAATCATTAAATAAAATGGGGTGTTCCATTAGCGTGAACACTGCGCCTTTAGCGATCTCATGCTGTTATGCATCAGAACATCTGTCTTAGGAGAAAACATCTGTTGTATATGTTTTCTATTTATGTTGTCTTGGGAGAATGAATTGAAACAAAGCAGTCTTGAGGGGTGAGGGGTGGTTTGTGCTATGAAAGCCCTAATATGGGCATCTTGAAATTTTTGTGAGTAGTTTTCAGGCGAAAATTTTAGCAGTAGCTTGAGTCATCTTTACTTAGGGAAGCTGCGCGAATTATTTTGCTATCGCTTTTTAGTCTCAGTCCCGTTTATTTACAATAATTGTGTAAATATTTTTTGTGTATGTATATCTTATAGCTTATTTTTCTTTATTGTTAATATTAATTGCAGTTAATCTTTTA